CAATCTGAAGTCCTTTTATCACTTTGGTTGGGGTTCTTCTTTTTTTTTTTTTTTTTGACATAAGCCAAACTTCTCACAACCATTTCTGGAAAGGCACATGGAAGAAGAAAAGAGTACTGGAGTACAACTGTGACCATCGATCAAGGGTACACAGAGATTCCCTCCAGACTGCTGAATGCAAATGAACGGAAATTGACAATAAGATGATTTTATGTAGGAAATTAATGAAACAAAGCATGTCCAGACTCATGTCCCTGGTCTTTAATTCCTTGAAAGTATCTCTGCACTATGGTGACAGATTAAATACTGGCCCATAAACCAGAGCCTGGAAAGCCCTGGATGGCCTGCTTTAATGGGGGCCATATGACCAAGCCTGGGCCAGTGCAGGTCCAAGGGTCCTCTGCGAGAACAAGGCTGACAGAAGGTGCGCCTCACCGAATGCCTCCCTGTTGCTGTCATCCCAGGTACAGCTTTTCTCAAACCATTCATTCACCAGGTAGACACATCATCCAGGAAACGAACTCCCAAGCAGTCTATACTCACGCCATGGGCCTCAAGATATTTTTATTCATATTACATGGACATCCTCATATCTGGGCCTGCAGTGTGCTTTACATCTCTGTTCTGATTCCCAGATGTATTAACTTTTATTCTTTTGCAGTTGCCCATTTTTTCTAAGTAAGCTATATAACTGTGAAATTCAGTCTGGGCCTCTCAGATGCTTGTTACAATAGCTATACCCCAACCTGGTATCATCACAAGTCTTTCTGAGGAAACCATTGCTCACCTTTGAGCAGACTGACCCATACACCCTTTGACTGACACTGACCTTCTGAAAACCAAGCACTCCCTGAGTAAGCCACTAGAGCCAGGTATGCTTCTACAGGCTGGCTATTAGGCAAAAAACAATTTCAACTGATGAAACAAAGCATGTCAAGACTCATGTGCCTGGCTGGCATAGCTCAGTGGACTGAGTGCGGGCTGCAAACCACAGGGTCACCGGTTCAATTCCCAGTCAGGGTAGATGCCTGGGTTGCCAGCCAGGTCCCCAGTGGGGGCCACATGAGAAGCAACCACATATTGATGTTTCTCTCTCTTTCTCCCTCCCTTCCCCTCTCTAAAAATAAATAAAATCTTTTTAAAAAACTCATGAAAAAAACCATCTATAGAATTGGCACTTACAAATCAAAAAACTCATCAGATTTTTGTGATATGCCCATGATTTAAATTCCACAAAATTTCAAACTAGAAAAGAACCCTGTGATTGAGAAATTTAAGTCCCTCTTTTTATTAAGCAACCATGCATCAAATGCCTATTCCTTAGTTGGTACTCTGCTAGGGCAAAAGATAAAAAGATAAATGGAACCACTCTCCTGGGCTCTCCCCTTACTGGGAAGGAGAGGCAAACAGGTAAACAGTCACAGCAACACGCTCTATCCAGGGTATCTTCTATGAGAAACCGAGTCCCTTTACTACAATTGAAGACAGCAAACTATGAGTCCCAGAGGAGGTGACATTTGAACTGCTTGAATAATGAGAACTAAATAATGAAAACTGTTACCATGAAAATAATCAGACTCACACAGAGAACATACTTATGTACTTTAATTTATTAGCATTAAATATGCATAATGGAGCAATAATGTCAGGTTTAATAATAAAAAAAACTTGTAATTCCTTTGTGAAAAGCAGTCATAACAACAATAAGACCACCACCACAAACTTGAAGTCCTCACTCAGGTTCCGCCGTCATTTTAAGAAAACATATTGTGCTTTTAAGTTGATAAAATGGAATAGCTTACAAAATGTTTAAAAACAAATGTCAAGGGAAGGCTTAAAGTCCACTTAGGTGATGTAAGGAGTCAGCAAAGTTGGTGCCACTTTTTTTTAACTTCTCTCAGCCCATATATCTTCCCACTGGATAGCATCTAATGATGTTTGGGGGCCAGGAGGTCATGTTGGTTGAGGCTGCATTTCTGGATTACAAAAGCGTTACAGAAAATGGTAAGCTGAGATGTAAACAAAAAACGAGGATTTTATTTGTTTTGGTTTGGTTTCTTTCATGAAATTTGCCAGGTCATTTTCTCTTCAAGTCCAAGTATGGACAATAATTAAAGTACATGAGTCACCCAATAAATCAAACACTGAGTGATTAAGGTATCTTTTCCACTTGTCGAAAACTGATCAACCTAAGGGAAAATACAACAAAATTGAAAGAAAGCTTTAAGGTCCAAGCTAATATGCTAAGCTGAAAAGCCCTTTAAATTCAGCTGGCACAAAGCCAGTCTCGATGACCAAATAACAAAACTGCTCTCAATCCAACTGTGTCACATTTTGCTGTCTCCTTCTCATACTCCATCCCCTAAGATGACTGGAGAAGGAAGCAATTAACTAGACCGTCGCCATATAGAACCATTCACAAAGAATCGGAACTTAGTACAGTCAAAATAATTCTTCTCCACTTACTGCTTCAGGGGGCACGTGAGAATTCTGCAATGCCCAGATCACTCAGTAAGAATGTATTTAGTGCATAATAAGGCACTGAGCTGGCACCACCAGTTCAATGACCATATTTCCCAAATGAAAATTTTGAATATGCATATTAACAAAAATTATTATGTAACTTCCGAGTATATGCAGCAACCTGGGAGACAAAGATTGGACACTGACATACTAGAATTTCCAAAACATTCTAATGTTACATAGACACAGCTGAACATTTTGTGTCAGAAGCAGTAGCCCCTCCCCTCAAAAATGAAAACTGGGGCCGTACAGTGAAGAGACTCTAAATATTTGAATCTTACACATGATTTTTTTTAATTTAGCTCAAATAAAACTTTCTCTTTGAACACCAACCACCATTCTTCTAGTTTCGTAATCGGAGAAAGTACCTGAAATTGATACACACCTGAGGTGGTATGTCATCATCTGAAGGCTGCTATTAACATAAATCTCTGATATCTACTTGTATGTTTTGCTCTTAGCAGGCATGTTCAGAATTTCCAGTTGCAAGAGACAGAAGTTCATAGAAAGTCAGATAGACCATGTTTTAAAATAGTTATAATATAGTTTTCTGTGAGGCAAGAGCATGGATTAAGGGGAATAAAAGGAAAAACCCCACAAAGTTCTATTCCTTCTCTGATGGTCTCAATAAGAATCCATCTAATTCCAAAAATGCAGCATTTTAATAAGTGATTACTACTTATTACTGAAGCAGTCAGGGATTCTATTTTTTTAATATCTAAGACTTCAGCTACCTGAGTGTACATTTATAAAATGAATTTGATCTTCTAGCAACAGGTCTTATATATCAGGTTGATAGCTCATCTATTTAAGACATTACGCAGAACACCTGACTATGTAGATATGAAATGTTTTATTTGACTTCTTCTATGAAATATAAATGATGGCTTATCAATAATACAGCCTGTATGAATACAGGAGATGAAAAAATTACAGAATAAAATGGGTTGAAAATATCAAGACTACTAAAGATTTAATTTAAAGACTGAAATTGTTTCAGAGCTTACATCATTCCTACCTCATGACTATTTTTAAAAAGGAGTGGACCCTGACAGGGTAGCCGGGTTGGTTACAGCATCCTTCCAATACACCAAGTAGCAGGTCCAATCCCTGTTCAGGGCACATACAAGAAATCAACCAATAAATGCTAAATAAGTGGAACCACAAACCAATGTTTTTTTTTTTCTTTCTCTCTCTCTCTCTGCAGCCTCCTTCCGATAAATTAATTAATTAATTAATTAATTTAAGAAGCATTGGCTAAAATTTTTGCTTTAACTTTTGCTAGAAGTTAACAAAATCCTCAAATCAGAGTAGCAGTGTGGGTCACTACAGATAATGACAAAGGCTTACAGTAACACCCTTCAAAATTATAGTAAATAACAACTCCTTACAAGGAGAGTATGCTATTTCTACTTCTGTGTATATATTTACCTGAGTAGAAGACAATGATTAACAGTTTTCCTTCAGCGAACCTCATGCCAAGATCAAACCAGGTTGTAACATTTATCTTCAGAATCTGTATTTCTGCTAAATACAGAGATATGTTTCTTCTCCTAATAAATTTATTTTACATATACAATAGCTAGTAGTTCAGTAAAGCAAAATTCACACAAAAAAGTGTTATCTTAAATATACCAAAAGGAGTGACAATTACAAATCCGGAGAGCTACCTCTGCTAAAGAATTTGCTTACACTTACCTACCACCTAGTGCCACCTGTGACCAGCCCTTCTCGCTATTCTGTCTCCATTTCAACTATAAAACCAGTGTCACCACATACTGTTACAGACCCAAGCTATTCATGGACCTTCACATTAATGGTCTATTTGTGAGTGACCCTGAAAATACATTAGCACATTGTCATCTATAACTCTGTGTCAGCAGTGACTGAACGGCCATCCCCAGGCAAGTGGCCCAAATGTAACCACCACTCAGGTGCTCAAATCCCACTTGAAGATCCTCACAAGTGATGGTGAGTACAATTATTGTCCTTTTACAGATGAGGAAAGTAGCCAGTGACATTATTATATCAATGGAACTATAGAAAGTTGTCATTGAAAATCTCGCTATATCCCTTTTGAATAGCAAGACAATGCTACCCAAAACATTGCTGAAAAAACTGACAAAACGATTTTTTAGTATTTATCAAAGTTCCATATTATGAATCAGTATCATTCTTTAATGTCCTGGAAGTGTCCAGTATCTTAACAAAACTTTCAAAATGGCAATTTAACTCAGTTTGCCAAAAAGACAATAATATGTCTAGAAAAACGCTGTTTTCCAATGAGGTCACTTTAACTGGATTCTATGTGTTTGGCTTCATAATTAGTTTCAACTTTATACAGGGCTAACACAAAAATAAAATAAAGAAGGAAAAGCATTATGAGGACATTTTAAAAGTTATAAATGTATATCATTTTTCGTCTCTAAAATTACAAGTAGAAACAGAGACACAGATTTTTGAAAGCATATTTTTTCCAGGGGAGAGCGTGCATGCAGTCCCCCACTACCACAGATTGTGCAGTGGAGTCTCCCACACGGAGGGAAGTCTCAGGGGCCTGCACACCCGCACGGCAGTGGGTGGGCCTGGCGCTGGGAAAACCACCGTGGTGATCATGGTGTCTCCCCTGCCAGGTAAGTATAAAAGCAGGTTTTTCAACTAATATAACCAAATGTTAGACTAAATCTCTGGTTTCTAAGGTGTTTCTTTTTCATATTTTAACTGGCTATCTTAAAATAGATTGCTCATTTAAAGAACTATGTTTCTTCCCCACAATTTTCAAAAACTATTATTTTTTAAATGTTAATTTTAACTGATGACTTTTTAGAATCATTGGAATTTCCCAAAATCCCAGTCTCAACTGTTGCCTTAAGCCTTAAGTTTACAGAATGGTTTAAAAACAATGCATTTGTGTTATATTTACTTTATAGTAATGAATGCATCCATCTGATTTGTAATTAACAGCATTGATTTGCATGCTATTCACTAAGTCCTGAAAAGAATTTGTTATCAACTATATTAACCATGTCCAAATCAAGTTGTTTATAGTAAATAGATTAGGAGACCCCTTTCTTCATATCAACTGCTTATATAATCTTCAGCCACCAGACATTTAATCACAGTAACTTTCAATTAATAACCCTGAATTAATGAGGTTTTACTATATTCAAGTGGAAAACCAGATACATAGGATAACTCAGCCTATGGTAACCAAATCAGTAAAATAAATTCACAACAGGCTCTTCTTGACAACTGCAAAGAACTGGCATATTACTGTTTCTTTTTAAGTAGTGTTAACAGTCTTACTCAGCTAGAAAACTGGTGATTTGAATCCTTATTCAATATTTTACCTAGCTACCATTTTCTTGCTTATATGATCTTAGATATCTTTCTAGAACTTCCCTACATATACTTTGTCTACACTAAAAATATACAGCTGACGATACACAGAAAGACAAGCTCCCTTTTTTGGATTCCCCACAGGCAAAAGGTACCTGACACAAAGCACAAAAGTGCCCTACCTAGAGTTTTGAGAAACTTCCTAAACTCTTCCCAGGGATCCACCCTTCAACAACCTGCCACAATATCTGGAATTTCTACCGTTAAAAACGGCTCAGGTGAAGGTACAAGAACCATTACAGAATACCTGAAGATGGGAACAGAGTGAAGGGCAATTATGGAATAAGGGAGTGCACTCACTCATCACATAGAGTTTAATTCCCTCCAAGTATTAAACTGTCATGTAGCAAAGTTCTACAGCCAGTAGGGATTTAAAGGCAGGAACAGGCAGGGAGAAATGAAGAGAAACCAAAGTTTGGAAAAAGGCCTGTGGAGCATCACTGCAGAGAAAAACCAAGCTACTGGGTATGTGGCAGGGAGCAGGAAGAGGGGAGTAGTTAGTCTTCTATGTATTGCCCTCCATCTTTGCTTTATATTATGCAATGTTTCTTTTAAAAAATGTAAAGAGATGAAATTATTCTGATTTCCAACAAATGGCAGTATGAAAATGTTTTCTCTGAATCTTTACACTTTCCATTGTTTTTATCCAAGAACAGTCAAAATGAAACAGTGCTAGTTTTGCTAAATGAAGTAACTTTTCCTGAGATAATCTAAATGAATGCTTTTCATCTCCAATGCTGCCATTCATTTCCTTTCATTTCTGAGACTTAGAAAATGATCAGGGTCTCTGAACATACTCCAGAAGGTACTGCAAACTGGAAAAAATTAGCTAGTTGAAACTTAAACTCAACCTACCGTTCTAAAGTTGCATTCTGGAAGTACAAGTCAAGAAAGTCATATTACTACAAACACAACCATAAAACAAGCACAGCTTTATTTGTAAGTAAGTAGCAATTTGTTATACAACAAAAAACAGAGCACACTCCTGAAGGTAACTGTAAACAAATGCCACTGCATGCCATGGTAATAATAATCCAAATACCTCTTATTTCTGTTTATAAGCAAATACCTCTAACTGTACTTGGTAAAAGCAGAGAAAGCTTAGGGAGCACAGAAATTTCCTCAACAATAATCCGTTCCCTGCATTAAAGAATAAGCCAATTTTAGAGCACTGAGATGAAGTTCTAGCAAAATTTAGAGTGAAGTCATGATTTTGTAAACTCTTATCTCATTTTTATTAATATGAAAAACTGGTAATGTTTTCCATTCATTCTACATGTACTTTGTACTCACTAAGCATGTATATACATATTCAAGGGAAACTGCTATTTCATAATATACTGATCATCAAAATTGATTATCTCAAATAATCATTCATAAAAACCATATGTATGACAAAATGTTGAATCCAACATTTGATAATGCCTTTTAAGCCAACAATGGAAAGAAAGCATAACAGAAATTTGTGGTGGTGTGTCCATCTTAAAAATCAAGATTCGCCAAGAAAACTTTTTTCTATAAATACATTTCACACTCAAAATTTCACATTGAGAACCTTATCAAAACAAATATAAAGTTAACATTTCCTACTTTGAGTCTGTTACCCACATTTCCATTTCAGTTATGCAATAATACGTAAACACAATTTTTAGAATTATGGGTTGATGTGTGTACTTATGGAAAGCTCCATTTATAATAATATACATTATATAGCATTGAAAAAAAAGGTAAGACAAAACAGCCATGGAATGGTTGAATGGACTCTTTCACATTAACTGGTGAAGACAACAAGCCTGAATGTATGAACAATTACTTTTACATTCTTTACTTGATGACAATTTTACATGTACATTTAGAATCCATACCTTGAAATTTAAAACAGGGCATGTAATCTTACATATGTGCATGTAAGCGTTTCTTTTTAATTGCTGGCCCATTCACTGCTATCATCTGAATTGCAACCTTTATATTGTTTTGAAAACAAATAATCAATATACAGATTGGAGTTATAACTAAACTTCACATATTGAGGAGATAGATATCTGTTACTCTGATATTTTAGCCAAAGGTCTTAATTATCTTTAACTGTCAACAAAAAGCTTTAATACTAACAGTTCTTTTGAATGAAGTTGAGTTGACTGTGTACAGTAGGACCCACGCCTGCAGAAATAGCTGTGCATCTGTAGTCCCACTTCCAGTCATTTTTGCAGATATTTTCTCATTTTGATGGGTCTATGAATACTGCTCTGAAGTAGGAATGATTCGATAAAACCAAAACAAGAGGTATTTTATTCTATTTTTCTTATTAAAGAAGACCACGATTTCCCCCATCATCAAGAGAATACACAGACAAAACTTTAAGAACTGAAGCAATGAACAGTTCTGAAGCCCCACTGACTTCTGTTATCACGGCCCTTAGGCTGCTGGGTTACTTCACCTAAGGGCTCATGATGCAAATGACTTTACTGCCTTGCACTCTACTTGCAAGCTCTGGCCACATAAGATCCTATCTCTGTTTTACACCGCCCCCCCCCTCTCCACCAGCCAGCGTTGTTTTCAATTTCAGAGGCCTGCTCTGCGCTTAGCCCACGCCCAACCCTGCTTTGCTCTACATTCTGACCCCAGGAATTATGGATACTACTTAATCCTGGCGGATCTGCTCTGTTACCTCATCCTTCCAGGATTCCTAGGATAGTTCTTCCCCCCACTCCACCACGGAATACAAGGACAGCGGATTCCCCTGTGCGATACAGGAGACCACTGCCTCTCCCCTTCCTCACCCCAAGCATCCCAGCTGCTCTTTGCCAAAAAACCCAAAGCCATCCCCACCACGAGTATAAAATGTAGGGCTGTGGAATAATCAAATAGCCCATTTGACAGGGGGTGACAGGGGGTGACAGAGGCACGGAGGAAAAGAGCGAGGCGAGTTCACCCCGGGGGAGGTGTGCTCCAGAGGAGGAATGGATCAAGAGCAATGACAGGTCCGTGGGGGAAGGCTGGAGGAGGCAAGGGAGGTTGGAGAACTGCTTTTCGAGTCCTCCTTTCTCTAGGGCCTGCAGGGGAATCCCGGGGCGGCGGCAGCGGCGACAGGGCTCTAAGGTCGTTCCCAGCCTCCTGCGCCCCCACGCGTCCCCTCCGCCACCCCCACAGCCTGAGGCAGCCCCCGCCCCAAGCTGAAGGCAGCGCCGGGCTCCCACCACGCTCTCCCGCTCTCTCGCGAGTCCTGTGCAGGCCCTTCCAGGGGGAGGGGGAGCACGGAGGGAATTGCTGCAATACAGCGCGGAGGAGCAGTCGGTGGAAAGCCACGGCCACATAAAAATGCCATATTAATTTTTTAGAAGCCATAAATCACCCCTTCCTGTGCAAAAGAAAACCATAAACCCGATCCCATGCAAGCCAGTGAACAGCCACCCACTTCCTATTTCTGTCACAGCAGCTACACCCTGCCAGCAACCACCCCCACCGGGCGCCCCCTCCCGCCACCGCCACCCCCGCAGCCGCCTCCCCAAGGCTCAGCCATTTGCCAACTGACGCCCCTGTAAATAAAAAATCCCCAAGTGGGCTTGGGTGGGAGGCGTGGGGGAAGGGCACCCGAGAGAGGGGGGCGAGGGTTGCACAATATCCTCGAAGGTCTGTGACAGGAGCGGGGAGAGAACCCGGGGCGGGGGAGGGGAGGCCAGCCGCCCGGGTGCTTGCGGCACACGATGAACCCGGGCGACAGCGACTAGCCGCTTACCTTTTACCACCCTGTCGGTCGTCGACAACTTGGGATCTATTGCCTTGGGCTCGGACATCTCCAGCCGCCGGGGGACAGCGACGCGCTGTTCGTCCGTCCTACTGCACACCCCGACCGGACCGGCGGGCCAGACACTCAGCGCCGCCGCCGCCGCGCTGCAAACCGCTCAGTTGGAGGTCTGGTTTCTGAGCTGGCTTTAAAGTTACTGCCTTCTCCGCGTGTCCCTCTTCCTCCTCCTCCTCCGCCGCCTTCACTCCTCCTCCGCCGCCGCCGCCAGCCCCGCCGACTCTGCTCCGGGCACGCGTGTGTGATTGTTATTTATTTATTTTCCAAGCACGCCTCTAGGTTCTTCTTTTATTCTTGGGGAAGGGGGATGGGGAGGAGAAGCGCACACACGAGTACCCACCCTGGCAGAGAGACCAGGCACCGCGGAATGGAGCCCCACGCGCGCACACTGCCGGGATTAAGACCGATCACATGGGGAGGGCCGGGGGCGAGGGAGGAGA